GAGTACCTAATTATTGAAATTATTAAAGTAAACATTTAAAATAAAGTATGATAATAGGTATCACATGGATAAAATTGTAAATCATTACTTTATAGTTATACGACTAAATTCAATGCCATTATATCAGTAGCCAACAGGTCAATCTTGTTGAATCTGGAATTAGATAACTTACTTGGAAATAGTTCGTTAATTTAGCGTAAAGTATACCTATTAACTACGGATGATATGCAAAGCCATACACTCGATGGTATAGATTACATAAATTTTATTGGGATAAGAGACGGATCCAGGAGGACCTAGGAATCCAGCCCCCCTATATAATCAATGTATATTGCATTTGTGTTGTTTGCCCCTTCCCCCAGAACTATAATTTGGATCCGTGCCTGATTGGAATAGGTATACCTACCTATTATCATAATGATTAAATGATAATAAATAGATATTATTGTGTTTTGATTTACTATATTTAAAGCCTATAGGTAATATTATTATGTCATAGCCAATTCGGAAATCTATCTTTTGGTGGAAAGTTAACCATTTCATGAAATGGAAACTTAATTTTTAGTTTTTACACTTCACGAAGTATGAGAAAACATTCAGCAGTGACATGTAAAACAGTCACTTTTTCATGAAACGGTCACTCCATTACGACTAAGTTCAATTTTTTTTTAATGATGTGGTCATTCATTTTGTGAAATAAAACTTTTACAACACAAAATTAATCTTTTCATTTATTTATCTCATATATTTGATGCCATACAAGATTATTTAGGTAGTATTAGTTGCATTTATATAAAGATATATTAGAACTTACGCAGCAATAACTATACATATTTAAATCATATTAAAAAATACTTATTTAAAAAAAGGAAAAATATGTAAGTATGTAGACTTTGTAAAAAAAATGTATATTAAATAAAATAGATAAATAGGTACTTGCTAACTACACATCGTACTAGGATATACAATTACAATAACTAAAATCACTGATACGTAGTGAATTTCAATTCTTCATTGGGCAATATACAGTGAAACCTTTGAATGGTGGACAATCGTTCGCCGAAATTTTGTCTGTTATTCGGAGGTGTCCGTTATTCAGAGGGGATTCATTTAAAAAAAAAATATTTTTACAAATTATTATTATTTAAAGTATATTTTTATAATCAAAATCGAAACTATGTACATGCACTAGTATTTTTTAAATTGTTTTTGTTTTAAAAAATCTGTGAGCTTTGTTTGTTTATACTTTATAATTACACCGTCTCTCTGCAATCTCATTAGAGTAATTTCATTCTCTAATGTTACAGCAGAAGTGAAAATAGAACTGCTATTTACCTCAATTGATGAAATAAAATGACTTACGTTCTTTACAGCTGACAAAGCGTCATTTTCTGACATACTTTAGTCATAATACTCATAAACGTTTCACAAATAACCGAATTTGTCTTAATCTTATCGTCCCAAAACGAGTTTGTTATAGTAATTACATTATTACGAGAGTATATACGAATGTGAATACGTATTATTTTCAAATAAAGATTAAAATAATGTCCGCTATTCGGAGGTTTTCCCATTGAAAAGTAGTAAAAATGTCCCCGTTCCCAAAAAAAGTCCGCTGTTAGTGGAGATTTCACTATATACATAATCATTACAATCAGGATTTTAATAAATATAATAAGTGTCTAATCGTAAAATGAGTTACGAAAATAATTCTTAATCGATAACTAATATAATTATCCAAAAATAAAATAAAATATTCCAATGTAATAAAAAATTTTCAAATATGCACTTCTACCAAAATATGTGAAGATATACAAACCATACAAAGTCGAACTAAATTTAATTGTTCACAAAGCGAATGTTATATCTTACTTAGAATAATTTACACGAGCCCCAAAACCACGCAAATGCAAGAAGTCCTGAACTTAATATAATAACGAACACCTAATAATAATAATAGGTAAAATATTTTATTTCCCAAAAGGAATGACCCCACTTTGTGAATTAAATTTTATCATTTTAGTTATAAAAAGGATATTTTTAAGGAATTTACAACTGAAAAATAATTTTGCAAATTTTCGGGATTTTGACGAAACTTCATAAAAATTCTAACTTCAGACAATCATAAACAATTTTGTAGGTTTACTCTTAACTTTTTTTTAAAATCACACTACTTATTAAAAACTTATCTGGAACCTTGTATTAATTTTTCAAGTAATTTGAAATAGCAAACAATTACTTAACGACAATAATTAAAAAAAAACTTTAAAAAAATAGAAAATTCTCATTGCTATAAATAGCTCATAAAGAGGTTTCATGTAAGTAGAAAGTACAAAGTTTGGTATCAAACTGGTAAATAAATAATTAGCAATTTGAATAAGATTAAATTACAACAAGGGGCCCCACATTGACCTAGTATTTAAGAATGAGGGTATTAAATAGTTCTAGGACAGTTTTATTAAACCAGATGTCTGCCTCCGTCTAAAGTCATCTTTCAGTATTTCACACAGGTACCCATGTAAGTAGAAATTTGTTGAAATTGTGGAGGGGGCGGTGGCTGAGATTTTAATGGTTATTATACCCGTAGGACCTACAGTGTAGGTTCTAGTGCAGCTCGCTTTATTCGCAATTATTAATTCCAACCAGGCAACTTACAACGTCTTACATACAAAATATTTTAAGAAAAAAAAATACAAAAAGGTGCTATTAGGTGCCTATACTTTTGAAAATTTTAAAGGTATTCTTAACAAAAATTATTAAGCCATTTAATCAATTGAATTATAACAAATTTAATAACTACTAAAATATTCGTTAATAAAAATAATTAGTTAAATACCTATATGTATAGTATATTATTAGGTATTTTCATAGAAATCGAGAGGCGCTATGTGATTATGACTGATGATAAAATGGTTGAAGGTTAGGTTTTTGTTCAATTTAAAATCGTTCTTCTACAGTTACCTATTGTAGATACAATTTAAAATCATGACAATTGTTAGATATTTAGACACTTTGTAATTGGAAGTGCCAGGCGGGGATCTGTACTTAAAACTTTTTTTTGGAGGAAGACTTAATTAAATGTATTATGTAACAATAGTTTAATTAAAAAGAAATTCGTTTAAATGTTCTACCTATTGTTTTTTAAACACTTTTTATTGAATTATTGGAAACTCCTAAAAAATCGATGCCCTGTTATTAAGCTTTCAAATTATAATAATAGTGAATGTCTTACAGTTATAGTAGCGTGTTGTATGTAAGTTGAAGATGTTGTTTTGTGCCTATTTTGATATCTGATTGCATAGGTGCATAACATTTGAACTGAACACTTAAGTTTGTTGTTATAAGTCACATAAATATTAATACCGTAATAATGTAAATATAATATCTCCATAATTCATATATTCATATTCATATTTTATTGTTTTTTTTTTCAACATCGTGTAATAACATTTTTGCTTGCGGGCGTGTGGCTACAACCACTACCGCGTTATGACTCAGACGCTCAATGAGTACGCACAGCTTTTGCCTGCAGGTGATGGGTATCTACTGTATGTCTAGGAACATCGTAAATAATATTCATTCGAAGAGTAGATAATAAGGTAAAACACAATTCTTTTTAGAGGTAATTATTCATTACACATTATGTTTTAATTGGTTTTCGATTTACCCCTATGTGTGTGTTGAATTAATCGACACATTAGTTGGCACGTTTGTACCTACAGTTATCTACTCGCTATCATCAATAGCAATCAAACAATTACAAATGATTATTATTTTTTGTTTTGCCTTTTAAATAATAGCTTTGGTAAATACAAGTATTTATTACCAATGGCAAAAATGTACGTGCTTACAACGATCAATGTGTATGTTTGAAGCGCAACCAGTTGTACCTAAATGTACCTATACAATACCATACTATATACAATTTAAAATATACAAGTATACAACATATATTATACCTATTGTGTAAGTACATAGCCATATAGATAATATATATATTCTAATTTTTATTTCTGAAATAGTATCAATAATATAGCCAACTTTTTTATCATACGGTTTAAATTGTATTTGCAATGAATATCGAATCCACTGTGAACTTGGTTTTCCTAAATCTTTATACAATTATTTATGTAAAAAAATACTATTAGAGAAAAATACAGAATGTAATAATAAATATGTAAAATATAATATATTAATATAATAATATATATTAGGTAATATTGCTGCTATAACAAATTGTGCTCTATAAACGTCAAAACATTTAAAATGTAAAGTAAACACACATTCTATAAATACAATTTTCATATGACACTGTATTATTAGGTATTATTACGTAACAAATGCATTTTTTAAAAGGATATGGTTAATTTTGTTCTCAATTTTATTACGTCGTAAATCTTAAGACGACGGTTCAGCTGAATAGTGATTTAACACCATGCGGTATTAGCAATGTTATTTATACTACAGATACATACCATAAATGTAACAATATTATTGTGGTTCAAAATGTGTTTGTGTAAAAATTAAATTTAAATTTATAAAAAATAATAAAAAGTTAACAGTTCTAAATTATGCATATGTTAATAAAAAATAAGTACACATAAAAGGTAGTTAGTTAATTAATTAATTATGGTATAACTTTGCGTAACTACTTAATGAATTATGGAATTGCAGGTTGCACAAAACTTGATGCTTATATTTTCTTTACAAAATATTTTTTTGTAGTTTATTGGAAATGAATAAAAGTGAACTTTAAAAATCAGGAAAAAGATTAATTGAATTGAATTTTTTATTTAATTATATATGATTTATCTATTTAATATAATCAAATATCTATTAATTTAGATTTTAGGTCTGAGATAAATTATTTGATTAAAATATAAAATAATATAAAATTGGACAAATCACATATTATGATTATTATTTTATTTTTATGATAACCACAAAAAAACCAAAACTTAATATTTATAGGCATAAATTTAATGATCTTTTTTTATGCCCTAGGGCCTTGAGGCTTAATACTACCTACATAATATAATACATTGAATTTAGAAATCATTATGACTTTTATGAGCACTGCCGCTTTGTGACGACCCAGAGATAGTGTTCATTTTTGTCGACTCACTGTGATCCATTGAACCTCTAAACTTTTTCCGTAAATTCATAATAACTTTGCGTTTGGCCACAAATATAATAAATATCATCACGCCTTGTAGTGCGTTAACTTCATCTAAAATGTCCCATATGATCCAATCATTGTGGAAGAATTTTGATAGTATCTCAAATGACCATGGGATTCCCATAACCAGAAATAGTTTAATGCTCATTACAAATCTGTCAAAAAAAATATAAATTAAAAGTTATTTTACGTCGAATGAAAAGTTAAAATTGACTTATTGGTCGACAATTTAGAAGAATTGTATTAACTAGTGGAAAAGACTGAAACTATTAACTTTAAATTTATCAAACTTTTTAATTAGGTAATGCGTAATATTGTAATAACATATAAGATATAACCTACTGTTTTGCACTATAGTCTATAGCTTAAGTTAAAATATAGGTTTTTTCATTATCTTTATATTTTATAGGCCATTATTACTTATATTTTGACTTCCTTCGAACAGATTAACGTTTATACCATAGTAAATTAATTTAAGCGACCTTAAAATAAGTATTAAATGACACAGTTAGGCACATACTGTTAACAAATTATAAAGTAAAGTAGGTAGTTTATTATAGATAGGTAGGTAGGCGGTAGCCAGGTAGGTACTACAATAAATAAAATAAAAACTTGAAGTAAGTAAGACCGATTTTAACTATATTTATATTTTATAACTAAGGAGTTTTACATAATGAATACGTACAAAAAGTAGTTGGACCATACGGTATAGTCTATACCTGGGGTCTCGAAACTAAGTAACGTGAACAAGTTTTAAGAGCTATATTTATAAATTTTATGTGGCCCTTAAATAAAAGTTTGAAGACCTCTAATCTATAATCTATACCTTATGTACCTAGGTATGTGTTATGTGTGTATGGGTAATGGGTACCGTACTGAATACTTACTTCTCTTTGTCAACAAGAAATCTTTGTGTTTTTGAATCGGTTCGTTTGAATTTGTTTAGTTCAGATTTGATTCTTGAACAATGAATAGCAGTTAGCATGAACAAAATTAAATTGGCAGTCAACATAACAGACACTGGTAGTATGAAAAAAATTAAAGTTCCGTAGTTAGCGTGGTCTGGAAAAATATTAGATATAAATTAATTATTATACACTCATAACCATACGATATACAAATTTAAGACGACAAACAGTGGACAAACTTGTTCATTCAAAGTTATATCGCAAATGTTAAACTTTATAAAAATACCTATACCGTTGATTATTATTTTTCGCCCCTATATGAATCCAACAAAAACTTTTTTTTACAACCATAAAAATAAATAAATTATGTAATAATAACAACTTAATAGTAGAAAGTACGTAAGTAAATATAAGTAAGAAATATTTTTAGACAAAATTAAATAAATATTTTGAGCTTTTAGGTAATATTGTAGATTGTAGGTAGATACTTGCCTACTTTTTTTTTGAAAGAAATCTGTTAAACTACCTATCATGGGTGTATGTATTTGTGTTTTGTATAAGTGTATAGATAATAACTATTAATATTACACTTATAACCATACCAAAAGTTATTATCTTCAAGTCCAGTATTTAAAACAATCTATTAGTACTAACTTATAGGTACCACTCACTCAAAACATGTATTGCATCCTCTGTAGTTAGGGTTAGGCATCACTACATTTAGAGAACGAAGCGAACGATTACGGTAACAAAGGTTCGTTTGAATAAAATAACTAGATACCGCATGATTTTTTTCAAGTTGATCAGTTTCAATATTGAAAATCAATTTAAACTATTATTTTTATTTCTAGTATAAAAGTTAAGTTACTACAGTTGTAATCTCATTACATTACCTTGTAGTAGTGTAGTATTTAAAATTGTTCACTCTTACAAATAAACTGATACAAAATAATATTTTAAAACAAAATTTTATTTTTAAAACTTTGATTCAATACAGAGAACACTTAAAAATACTTGTATGGTGGCATTTAAATTTTGATCACTGCGTGCAATAATTCAACTCTTATCCAAACTGATTAGAGTATAATATTATTTAGAAAGAGCTGAATTATATTCTAAACAATTTTGTATTTAAAACAATAGGTATTGGTAAAATAATAGTTGCTAAATTTTCAAAATGATAATTTCTATTCATAAAATGTTTTTTAATAATATACTTTGTATGATAAAAATATAAAGTACAGATTTCTTTAATAGTTATAGTAATTAATTATCTATCAATTAAGCCAAAATCATTTTTTTGTTTCATGGTCTTTTAATGTAAAAGTTTAAAATTTTAGTTGGCATAATATTCATGCAGTAAGACATATTGGTATAAAAATAAATTATCTTAAATAAACTCTTAAGAACATATTATTATTATTGTATATATTTTTTAAACTTATATTTGATTTATATTATGATGATTTTTTCTGGACACAGTCCAATTACTTCATTGACAGTATTACTGGTATAAATGTATAATTCATTGGCCAATAAATAAAAATAATATACCGTATAAATACAATTTTCACAAATATTTTCAGACGATTCGCCAGCGCAATATACTGCAATCAGTTTGTTAAATGCAAATAAACCAGTCCACCCGATTTTATATAACATGATGGTTAACAGATGTAGGTATACTAAATCAAAATTATGCGTTAAACGTTAACCATTTGCATGTTTTTGGTGTAGAAATATCTTATGGTTTTAATTAAATATACAATATTCCAATATGATTACATTATATTGTTGATATGATATTGTAACATGGTAGGTACCTACACCTAAATAAATGTTGAAATGTATTAATTATAAAATAATTATGTAAGCTTACCGGAAAACCAGCAATTACGGTTTCCTATATCAGGTGCTAATTTCTGTAGCGTTTCGTGTTGTGAATATTGAAATAAATAACCAGTTGATACGCAAACGCTTGAAAATCCCCAACAGTAAATATGGTATATAATGGTACGTACTGATATTGATGTATGTCTGTTTATTGAATTGTTGTACCTAAATTGAAAATGTGTTGAAAATATTACATGCAGTTTATGAACTATTATATTTTGTACTTTTAAATTTTAGAAACGGCACCTTAAATTATATGGTACACTGGTATAATGCATTAGGTTTAGGTTTAGGATTAAAGTAATCCAGAGGTTGAAATCGAAATAAAATATTTTGATTTCAATTTCGCTTTTTGATATTATTTATTTTGATTTCAATACGTTGATAAGGATGAACATTTTTATTCAGATTTCCGACAAGGAATTTCAGAATATTTATTAAAAACAATATTTTGTTTTTATAACTGGATGAATTTTATCCTTTTTATTTTCTTTTTTCTTTTGTTGCACAATATCGATTAGTTATTTTCTGATTTATAATTAGATTTCTATTTTTTTTTAAATTTAAAATTTCATTTTAAAATTTTTATTATTGAAATTTTGATTTATACACTTGCAAGATTGCCGTTTGCGTGTTTCAAATATGCTTGGTTGTTAGACGGATCAAAGAAAACTAAATTATTTACCAATGAACAATATTATTTAACCTGTTAGCTATTGTTGAATTTTAATGTTGAATTTAACTTTTATTTCATACTTAATTGATTTTTTTATAACAATTATAAATTTACATGGATTTTAATTTCAATATAAATTTATCATTTTATATAACTATTGGTTTTTAGAGGATTATTAGCAATATCTTTAATCTAATAATTAACTATATAGCAATAATACCTATGCTATACGTATAATTATTAATAATATTTAATAACATACATTAATATACTCCATACTATACATAGGTACTATATAAAAAAAAGGTATACCTATTTAATTATAATATTATTCATGACCCACCATATCTTTTGTTATTACATTATTGATGTGTAGGAGTTTCATAAGCGGCTTTAATAATATAATAATTGTTATTGATTTACCTTTTCCTGATTACTATTTATTCCAAATGATTACATACCTATACGACTAGAAGCGGTTTTTAACAAGTCTAGGGGGGAGCCTAAAATAATTTGAATACATACATACATATATCAATTTTCTTTTACTGTTGATAGGTGATTCCTGGTGATCAGTAAAACCGCCACTGGTTATAACAGTAAAACTAGTCCAAGGTATAATAAATATTATATTTTTTTTATGAAAAGGTTTTGGTACACTACTATAGCGCAATAATATTATGTAAGTATCGCACAAATAGGTACCCAGTAAGTGGGACCATTTATCTCACCAATCCACATTCTTAAACTTAAATAATTGGAGATATTGTGATATCAAACGATTTGTAAGTCTTACAAAACTAATTATAATAGAAAATCACAAGTTATAGTAAGTTATTAACTATAAGTTAATTTATAATTACCTGCCTACTTATTTGTAGTTTAGAAGTTTATATACATGAAATTATTTTGCACGTTTTTTTAACATATTTTGTAAGAATATGAATATAACTTACATACCTTAACATCCAGTAAATATCGAAGCATATTACGTTTAACCAGCAAAATGTTGTCAGAAATGCAAATAATGTGAAATAACCTAAAATTACACTTCAAATTAATTTAGAACACATAAACAAATATAATATTAATCAATAGTAAATATGATTTAGAATCCATAAGAAGCTACAACATGTATGCTGGTAAGACAAATAATAACTGTGATATTTCAATTTATTGTTGTTTAGCTTTTAGATTCATTGACAATTAACACATTTTAATAATAATAATTTACTAAGTTTCAACTCTATTGGCATAGTCTAACCTTGGAGTCTCCACTATCCAACTTTTACCAGGAGGGTCGAATCTGAAATACCCTTCGGCATCGTGGGCCAATACTTTTTATAGGGCGATAGAACGTAAAAAAATTTAAGATGGATAAGAATAATAATTGAATTGATGTGAAAACATCTATAGGTGCACCATATATACGTTCCTCCTATCAGAAAATGTATGGCTGTAGTAATTTTGAGTAAACGAACGAAACAAACGAAACGTTGTGAACGCATGTTCTGTCCATGTCTGCAGGAAGCTGAAATTAACCAATAAACAGCTGGACAAACTAAAAATTAAGACGAAAATATTAAAATTTAGATAAACTATTAAACGAATTTGTGACAGGGTAATATGGTATAAGTAAATAACTAATAAAGACAAATATATTGAATTTATTGGAAATAATTTGATATTATACTTCAAAGTATAAATAATATTTTATTATTATTTTTTTTTTTACATTTTAAAATGATTAATTTAAAAATGTATTTTAATACTTAGGTATCAATACATTATTTCGTAATTTTTAATATAGTGCATTATGATAATTGTATTTAATATTTATTTATGCATGTTATTTAAATAATTTTTTATTATATGTATTTTTGAACAATACTTATAAGTGTTACATTATTTTGGAAAATTTAAAACTAATTAGTTAAAAGTTATTTACAGATATAATATATAAAATGTATTTGTTAAAAAAAAATGCTAGATTATATTTAGTCGGCGATACTTATTACATATTATAACCGGAATATTTTGACGTGTCAACCCCAAGTAAGCATTAAAATAATTATACTCCTAATAAAATGAGTGCTTCCAACCCTATTGGGCTTTCTGGCACATCGTAACATTTTAATACATATTCGCACGCGAGGACCTACAGGTACTTTAATCTTAATGTATAAAAGGCAATAGCTCTAGAATGGGGACGGTCACGGTGTGCATATAATTACTATCACGGATTCTGATGACTTTTTAGTCTTAGTTGATACTTTAACATCTAATACGTAATACGAATTCAATGAAACAAATTTAAATTTAAATATTGTAGGTGACTTTTTTATGACCATTTTCTGCTATTTGCATGAATAAATTAACTAGAGGAACGTACTTGGTTTTTTTTAGGTGTTCGATAAGTTAAATTGAATAATTTTGGCTCATATATAGGACAAAAGGCAAATACAATTTTGTGTTCAAATTGTGCCAAAAATATTATGCTTTTTTAGGACACCAAAAATGCCAACATATTGGACAAAAACTCAGACAAAAAAAAAATATGGACAATTATTTGTTAAAAAAAAAATAATAATAATGATTAGATTATCTGAAAATGACCTTGTCGAATGTTTATATTATTATTTTATAAAAAAACTATTCCCTATGCGCATTATAATTTATAATTTATTATTGGCACTTGGCAATGAATCGAAAACAAAAGAAATATTTTTACAAAAATGTATGTTTTTAGTTTGAAAAATAAATTATACAATTTATTTTTCATAATCATCTATACTAATAATTTATAAAAATAACCATATAATCATTTATTTATTTAAAATTAATAGTAGGCGTTAGCCCAGTTTACAGTCAATTAATTACAATGATAATATGTTATGCAAGCATAGCATAAAATATGACATTAAAATAATATACGTAGTTATAATACAATAATTTAATAATAAATAGTAGATCATAAATGGATGGTACTTTAATTATGATAGTTAAGATGATAAGAAAAAAGGAATAAACTTATAGGTATATAATATTAAAATAAAAATAGAATAGGTACGATATTTTGCAATAGATAAACATTACAGAAATAAATTATCATTATTATTATATTCCCTGTGACAGACATACACTATGAACTAGGGTGAATAATGAAAAAAAAGTAAAAACTCAAAAAAAAGTATCAGGAACACTAAAGGGGCGGTCATCGTTTCCGCCAAAAAACTCGATTTTCGTTTCCGCCAATTATTGTTTCCGCCAAAACGAAAAAGGTTTGATTTTCATTTCCGCCAAATCTATTTCTACCTATATTATTGAGCTGGAGTTTGAGAACCCCTAGTCTGTCTGTAGTGCTATCGACCATCGATGTACATAATGTACCATGTCGATAATCCATTGTATATTGAAGATATCATAAAGAGATAATTGATTTTAAACGTAGAAATACCTATATAACATTAAAAATAAATATAAATCGATTTAATCTATATCACGTGTAGATATATCAGCAGTGTCCGTGTTATCGAGATCAGATAGTTCTGTGATCAGATCTGTGAGTACTGTAGTAACAACGACGAAATTAGGAGTCCACGTGAACCGTGAATATTATATACGTCTATTAATTATTGAATAATATATTGGAATATTATGGAATTCATAACGAGTAAACGTGGTAAAAAAATGATTGTGATTGATGGGTTCAAATTTAATTTTTCGTATAAATCTGTCCAAACAAATATTTCACGGTATCGCTGTTTTATCAAAACTTGTACCGCAACTGTTTATGTTGATGATGACAATGTTTTAATCAGTACAACAGGTATGTTAAAAAATGTATTTATTTTAATTTTACTTTTTATTCAATATTTTAAAACTAATTAGGCACGTATTAATTACTTGTACTGTAGATCACATATGCAACGGTCCATGTTCTAATATCGATAGGCAAAAAGTGACGAATGCTTGTAAGCGAAAAGCAATAAATGATATTAGTGAAAGACCTCAAAAAATAATTTTGAATGAAATTCAAACAAATAACAGTGTTTCAACCTTTACGGTCAATGATGTTTCAGCTATTCGACAATCTATATATAGAGCACGAAAAAATGTATTTCCAATTAATCCTTCGTCATTAAATGAGTTACATTCTGCAATAGATAATACGAACAAATCTACCTCGAATGGCGAAGAATTTCTATTAATTAACGACCAAGAAACAAATATCATTATATTTTCTTGTGAAACAAAATTAATTTTTCTATGCGAATCACATACAATTTTTGTCGACGGAACATTTGAATATTGTCTAAAATATTTTACTCAGTTATTTACCATTCACGGCTTAAAGAACAATTTTTACGTACCTCTTGTTTTTTGTTTATTGAAGAATAAAAACTCTGAAACTTATACACAAGCTTTTAAATATATTCAAACTAAATGTTATGAAAAAAATTTGAATTTTGACCCTAAAAATGTAACTGTCGATTTCGAGATTAGTATTCATAATGCTGTATTATCTATTTGGCCTTCAACTAATCTTATTGGGTGCCGTTTTCATTTAACACAAGCGTAGTATCGTAAAATTCAAGAGTTAGGGCTTAGTACAGAATATAAAGAAAACGGGTGGTTAAGGACTACATTCGGATTAACATTTTTAGATCCTCAAGAAGTTACAGATTCATTTGTCGACGATTTTATGTCTATAATACCAGAAGAGTCAGCATATTATAAATACGCTGATTATTTAACTGACAATTATATTTCTGAAAATAGTGTGTTTCCGCCAACAATATGGTCCAATTTTAGTGCAAGTATATCCAGAACAACAAATAATTGTGAATCTTTCCACGCTCATTTTAATGAACAATTTTATAAATCACATCCAAATATTAATACATTTTTAAAAATTTTAATCTCGAATGTTCAAAACAATGTATACATTAAAATTAACAGTTGCAACTTAGGTATGCAAAAACCTGTAAGATGTAATATAAAAGAACGAGTGAAAAGAACAACAAACGCAATAGACGAATACAAAAGTAAAACAATTTCAAGAATGACATTTTTAAAAAAGGTATGCAATCATTATTCAAAATAATAATTAATAATTAATTATAGAAGTATAGAACTACTACTAGATATATACATAGACTTAATTAATAATAAATTGACTTAATTTAATTCAAATTCAAATGTTTAACTTAAATCCAAAAATTAAGTCAAATAATTTTTGGGGGTCAATGAGAACCACCTCCTCGTGGTGGCCCCTGGGTAACTCTAAATGGTTCTCAAACTATAATTTAGACAGGTAGGCAGAAATGAATTTGGCGGAAATGAAAATCAAACCTTTTTCGTTTTGGCGGAAACAATAATTGGCGGAAACGAAAATCGAGTTTTTTGGCGGAAACGACTGACGCCCTACTAAAGTGTTAACAGTTTCTTTTGATCGAGCAAAAAAAAACAGATAGTGGTTATTTTTAATTTCAAACACATGGAAGTTAAATAATAGTTTCGAATCAAAAATTACACTAAAAGGTCTTACTACGTGTTCGATTGAATAAGTGATTAGGTTACTTATAATCAATAATGGGGTTACGATTTTTTTAAAAAATAAATAGAGTGACAATTAATTAAGTTAATAGCCATTCCATCAAAATTACACCAATTATTAGATATTTTCAGCATCCAAATTTTTTTATAATAGAATTTAACTTTTTTGTGTATTGCAGTTTTAAAAAATTTTGCATCAACAGCAAATATAAAAATATAAAAATGATCTAAAGCTAAAACGGTATCATTGATGAATAAATTAAAGAAAAAATGTGAAAAGTAGTCACGTTGGATACCTAAAATTACAGGAATAGGATCCGAAATAAAATCCGTATGTATTAAACAAACTGCGAATTACTAATTAAAAAAGAGTTTAGCTTGCTGGATATAAAAAGATAAACAATTTGATTTTTTGAGATTTAAAATTAGAAGCAAGTGGCAAATTAAATCAAATGCTTTTTCAAAATCGGCATTAATAATTACATTTGTCTCCCAGCTATTTGTAAATTAATTTAAATGAAAATTGTATAAGTGATCACTGATGAAGTTGGTATTTGTAGTATTATTTTACAAAATCAATGTTGCTAAGATATCTATTAGGTATGGTATTATTAAAAAGAGAAGACTGGTGTGGAATTAATAATACTAGAGAATATGTAAGATAGTAATGGTGATATATAATAATTATAGATTTATTTATTAATATTTTTTTAAATACAATTTATTTTCTGGTAGTTATCTGTTGATTTTTTAACACTGAAATGTTATCCTCTGGATACTTTGACTTGGGTTTATTGGTACAGCTTGAATTTTTCTTAGATATTATTTTTCAAAACCATTTATTACAAATTGTACAGCTAGAGTCTATGCGCATATATTACTATATTATTTTGTATTAAATATTATCTGGTAGGAATTAATCAAATAATTATAACAATGTAGGTAAGACATACCGAATAAAACGCATGGCTGGCCATCGATGGAGTCCTGCGTCCACTGGATGGTCATTAGGCAGCTGAAGGACAGGAGCAAGCAGGCCACGTAGCACATGACGTAGTAGCCGTGAACGTTCCGGAGGCTGGACAGCGTGGCGTACACGAGCAGCGTGAGCGCCAGGCACAGGACAGAGGGTACAAAACCTGCCAGGGTGACGAAGTACTTCCAGCTGCCACGTGTGTCCACGGCCGTGGCCGGCGGTGGGTCGTCCGAGATGCACACGAACGCCTGCAGGACAGCGGCCACTGGTGGTCCGGCTGCTGCGTAATACTCCACGCAATACCCGGTATCCGGTACGTGCTGGCCGTTGTCGGTGCGGTAAAGTCGGCCGTCTGTGGTCAATGTGAACCCACCGTCCACCTTGTCTCTCTTGTAACAAGCGAGCCGGACGTAGTACGGCAGCACCGTGCTGTTCGACCGGTCCACCGGACGGCCGCTGATGTCCGTTTCATAGGCGGACAAGTTGAAAGGCGTCTCGCCCTTCTTGCACCCCACGCTGAAGGGTAGATTATACTCGTTAGTGCAATTAGAGGAGAGAATGCTTACCGGTACTCACCAGTGCTAAGTACCGGTAACATTTACTACACTAATGGTATTTAAAGCATCAAAGGAGCAATTTCAATTTTTTTGTTTTTTTGACATGCATGTGTCTTATGGCTGGAAGTCATTCTGATTTTCGTGCTACACGAAGAATGCTACCATTGGTAACCATTGCTATCATCAATAGTCACAAGATATATTATGCATGGGCTCCTCTAAGGTAGTCGTTAGTAACCGATGATTTATAAAACTTTGTTACCGTATCAACCTATTTATATTACATACGTACACACCTACAATTTTTTATTAATAATACAAATGAAAAACAAACATTTTATGTCACGCTGACAATGCTTGGATTTAAATAATAACAAAAAAAGACACTGGTTTGTCTATTTAATAATAAGTAAGATAGTATAATCAAAAGTATACCGCACGATGGGGAAATAAAACCTACCGAGAGGATGACAGCCGGTGGAATGCCAGAATACTCTGATTATTTTTTTTGGGAGGGAGAGGGTGAATTGTTGCTTGAAAAAATTTATTCCATTTTTTTTTTCATTTTACAAGTTTTTTAAGCCACATTTTATTGAAATGTTGTCATTAATACTTAGGACAGTCACGGAAGGGGATGTAAGCGTACCACTAGTCCACCCCACACACGCCTTCTTTTAATCAATCGTGTACAGTTTTATAAATAAGTAAATATAAATAATTTATAACCACAATATGTTAAGTTTACTGCAGCTATGGCTGAAGTTGGTTTAGTGATGTCTTATTATTAAAAATGTTTTATCAATTTAAAAAATTCATGTGAGAAATTGTATTAAAAAAATCACTTGATAATATATAGACAATTATATTTGAAATGCGAAAAAACCTGCGGAAGTACTTGTTTGAAGGTATAGACGTGTCTAATGAAGGTGCCTCGTTATTGATCAGTTTACTGAAATGGATGTGTTAAATTTGACTTCAGTGATAAATTGTTGATTACAAAAACGATTCTGAGCAAGGACAGCCTGTCAGCCAATATTTTAAAAGATATTTTATATTTTTATATTAGTAATATGATAGGTTGCGCCAATATTCTAAAAATATTAAAAATATTATTGATATCGGAATGAAGTAAAATTTCTATGGAAGAAAATATTTCTCATGTGTGTTCTTTCTAATGTACCTAAGAGAATGTTAAGTTTAGTGTAAACTGTAAAGCCATATTATTTTATGGAGTGTTTGAAATTCAAAAACATACAATAATAATTTTCATCAAATAATTTTAGTTATTTTGTTGTAATTCAAAAACTAATAATTGTAAATTGTATATATATATTTATTAATTGTATATTATTATTTACTACAAACAATATGATTTTCAATGAATATAATATTTAAATTAATTTTAAACAATTTACGCCATGAACCAATTCACACCATGCTAAAGGTATTTATTAACGTTGGTATTGACGTAAGTTAATGATAGATACGTATGGTAATAATATTTTTAATAACTATTATATAAGACGAGGAATTTGTTTTTTTTTAAATTAGTTCAACTTATTACCGACTCGCATAAAAATGAATTACTCATAGCAATAATAATGCTTGAAATAAAATTCATATACTTTTTTTTTTTATTTGAATTAAGCCTCGGCAACTATGGCCATGGGCAACAAAGAGTTTATTCATATACTTATATTAACATTTAATAGGCAAACAGACTGCTGTTTCCGAGAAACATTTTCCCTCGAAGACAACGATCATTGAATTAAAATATTTTTGAAATTGAATCTCTTATAGAAAATAATGATTTAAGTAAAAGTTGAATGTTTCGAGTGCCATTTATTAAATTGTTTGTGGAGAAATCATTATTATTATTATATTATCATAATTTGAACTTCAACACCCACAAAAAATGCATGTGTATTTAAGTTAAATTTTGTTCTAATAATTACAGTAATTATATGAAGTAAAATTTATGAGAAACTTTATATTAAACTTCCAAGATTTTTTACAGTGGCATATATTTTTATTTATTCATTTTTTATTGGTTTTGAAATCATAAATTTCTGCTTCGACGACTAAGCCCATTAGCATTGCATTTGTATATATTTACATTTTAATAGTAACTTATTCAATTAAAAATCGAGAAAAAAATACGGATAGTTTTTATTTATTATGTAAGTAATAAACACACACACACACACACACACACACACCCACACCCACATATATATATATAACATATGTTATCAACATTTATTGAAAAAAAAAACGAAAAAGAGTGGAAAATCATGCAACCACTTTGCTGTTCAGTAGGTGTGGGGTTATTAAATATATGAATTCAATGATAAATCATTGCATGCCTACGAAAAACGGTTCTGAGCGAAGACGGCCTGTAAGCCTGTATATTATACTCTAAGAATATTTCATATTACTGCTATTAAAGTAATTTATTTTACTATTATTATTACGGTGATGGATTTAGTTTTGTCCAAAAACATTGCATTCATTTTATTATTTATATTATACTATTATAGTATTATAGTATTATTCATCGTACAATATAATTTATTATTGATATTAAATTTTGAGTCAAACCGCCTTATCGTAAAAAGGTGTGAATGGTTTCGTGATATTTTTGTAATTAATAAGCAGGGCTAGGATTTGTATGCAATACAAAATTGTAAGATATGCATTACATTTTTTATACGATAAATACAAAAATATAGATAGTCACAAAAAAAATATTTATTTATTGAAATACATCAGTGGTTGGCTGTTTGTCTTAATACGAGTATAATTTTCACTATGTGTGTTACATGCTATGACCACATATTTTTTTTAATTTACGAAAATGAATGATCTTTCTCCTTCAAACTATTCAATCTTTAATCGCATACCTATTGTACCATAGGGTTGTATTTATAAAAAGAAAATTTGTGTTTGACATTAAACCAAGTTTTATACTTTAATCAGTAGAGCTAGAATTAAATACTAAATATTAACATTAAATTTTAAATATTAATTACGAAATATACTATAAAACATGCATTTTTTGAATTATTATAATCGAAATATGCAATAATATTCATTTTATTCAATATATGCATTAATATTATGCATTTTTCCAATATATGCAAGAACATGCAAAATAAAAGCACCACCATTTATCTCATCATGAGGTGATTCATGGACATAATTGACAAAATCAATAATCAGACGTCGCAAAAAAAAACAAGCTGTTGCATACAAATCATAGCCCTGTTAATAAGTTATAGTTTAATATTAATCTATTGCCGGGCTGCATGAATAATTACTAAATATTTATTGAATCAATACTGATCTAATGGTCCCTTATAAATTATTTTCTGGCCCATGATTAGTCTATTAAATTATATTGAACTATTCATTAATTGTTCATACTACAACCTGGTATAAATATTTAAAAATTCCCCATGAATAATATTTTTAAATCACAAAAAAAAAAATTAAACCACTCTTCTTCGTTATAATATAGAAATTCATTCAAATTGTATCTTCATATAAGAACAAATAAAAATATGTGTGTTCTTTGTGTCTTTAATATTTTTAAATAACTCTTAAAACAACTTATGAAAATTATGAACCTTACAGTACATTTACACGCCTTCTGGAGGAACGAAAATTATTTTATTGGCATTTATATGTATAAAAAATAATTTAAAAATAGCCAACATTTTTTGAAAATTATAGGTAGTAGGCATGTCTTGATAACAATACTATCGATTTTTGGTAAAAAACTAAAATTTTTGCAATTATTTATTTTTGAATTACCTATATTATTATAATTGATTTTGTTAAAATCTAGTTTTGATTAAAATTTCCAGTTATTTATTAATTATTTCGTTTTTCCCATTTTGTATCACAGTTCGTAAAACATGATAATATTTTTTTTTTGGCCTGTGTCAAAAACTTAGGAATGCTTAAGTAAATGTTTACCGATAACTTATATTTCTGCACATAATGCAATTAGTAGTTAGGTACTAGAGTCTAAAATACTAGATACCTACTAGATACTACATATACTAAGGTTACCAACCAACAGTAAAATTAGTAAACAAAAAACATTTATTCAATTTTCTTTAACAATATTATTTCCTGCGAATCTTATAATTTTTCTTATTCAAGTTGGCTAACCCTAGGACACACATAGAGAAATTTAAAATAGTAAGTTTATATCGAACGCGGAATGATCATTATAGTTCTATGTTTTACAATAGTTATAAAGTAAATCTTATAGTCTATAGAATATACAAACAATGGTGGTAAAAGTAGTCCGAGCTCTATTATTATTTCGATCAAGAAAATAGGTTTGATACGGGTTCAATAATTTTACAAACACAATCGGATAACACCGCATCCAAAACAACAACTATGTTCAAAATGTTATTGTGTTATGAATAAAATCAAAACATTGGGTACAATACTACTATAATATTATAATTCTGTCTGAATTCGACTATTCTAAAATATAAAATGTTTCTAAACATTTTGCGTCCTCATATCATCGTTACTTAAATGTTACACGTATAATCATATTGCGTGTTTAGTAATATTTACATATGTACAAGGTACCTACGGTAGTCACGTATAATAGCTGAGTCGCTGGCCAACACTTGCGAAAGCATTGCTCGTGATCAAACCATGTTCATTTTTAAAGGTGACTATTTACTGCATTTTAGATTATATTTCTATATAATAATGGCACAGCTCTCTATGCCTAAATAGTTGTAATAGATCATTAAAAATACCTCCATTAGATACCAAACTACCTAGTACTACGTTAGATACCAAACTACCTAGTACCTATACTATCAATGAGTATTTATTATATAATATGTATCGTTGTTTTTCAATAATAACTGATACTGATAAGACATAACAATTATACACCCACATTTTGTTAAATACTTTACATTTGAATCTAGCACGTACTATCAACATGTCATAATTAAAAATATCATAATATTATACTTTGATACTCACCGTATGTCCACTTTAACTCCAAACAAACCATGAACATTTTCAGTATAACTACACTTGTATATAATGTTTAAAAAGCGAATTTAAGCTTATCATCGGCAGTAGTAATATTAGTATTATAATATTGAAAAATATTGTAGATAATGACCCGAAGAGAATACTTTTTTTATCGCACAGAAACCACTAAACCGCATAATATATACATTATAAATTATGATCTCATTGTGTCATAATATCGGTGTGCAATAACAGAACCCAGCACACTATGTACGTATTCTAATATTTTATACTCAAGGGACCCAGTGGTATATATTAAATAAGTACTCCGGTACTCCGGTATTACATTATGTAATATGTTGTTAGGCAAACCTGCAGTCGGTTACTATCAAACCATCCTTTTATCCTGTAAATTAATATTTATTATAATCAAGACGTGGTGCGGACAAGTAGGGGCGTAAGTAGCAAGTATTTTGCAGGATACGTAATTCTGTTTTAGTTCCGATCCAGACTCCCTCATTTAAATAAACGAATATTAAAGAGAAGAGCTATATTTGTATTCATAAAAACTAATATTAAGTTACCGTTAAATTACAAAATCCGTTATCTTATAATTTAACGAACTGCTTTAGTTTAAGTACCTATTTTAGAATAATTAAATTAATACTCAACTATAAAAAAGTTAGGTTTGGTTGTAAAAACTAACCAACTAGCTATTTTATACTAACAATCTCCGATTGACTTGAAGTATACACGTAATTAACTTGTTAAATAGTTGTAGATATACAATTATTATATCAATATTAAAACATATTAAATACCTGCAGGCTGCAACAATTTCTAGGTATAATATAATAAAATTTGCTCACTATATTTTAAAAACTAATTTTGTTTATTAATTACATACATTTGAAGTTTGGAATAGTGGAGTATGTATATACCTAATTATCATTACTTCTTCCATTGTATACAATAGGTACTTATGGGCTATGACTGACAATCACGAACAATTTATAAGATATCTAATTATAATAATTTATATACTAGAGTTTATCGTCTTTATTTGGTTAGTATATAAAGTATCTACCTATACTACGTAGATATTTCACGAAATAACTCCATTTCATACTTTAAAACGATAATAAATTATAAAGGTATTAATACTCGACTAATATATGTATATTATATATACATATATATGTAGCTAACTAAATAGATTTAAATATTCCTGTGTTTCAGTAGTCGTACTTATACATTGCTTATGACATATTATATTTAATAGATATTTAAAGACTTAAAACGAACATTAATAATTACATACTACGATGGATTATAATATTATAATGTTCAGTTTAAGTACTCTATAATAAATACAATTCATGAACACAAAGTTTTTTCATGAATATAACAACTTTGATCTATAAAATATTATAGACGGTTTTATTATTTTCTAGAGTCAGTTGTTTGGAGTGAAGTGGTCACTGAGTAGTATGATTACAGCTTGTGGTGGTAAAATAGTTCACGGGCATCTTTGTTTTATTACACTGCATTCCAGACACGTATCATTTTGAAAACTATATAGGTATTGACTATTCTTTACAAATCATATATGACTATTGCAAGTATACATCATTATTATATATGCAAATAAAAGTATACGAAATAAGAGAAGTCAATAATTCACCATTTTTCCTCAACTGTTATTATGTACTTATTATGGCTTGTATTTCCAATAATATGTGCCTGTAGCCACTACCAATCTACATTATGGACCTATCATTCAAATACGTATACAAAACATAAGTGTACACGAATCTTACTGTCGAGTGTCGATACAGACAAGTCTATGATAATTAATATTAGGTACTAATACGTTGGCCATGTACATGTTCTTTGAGATTATCGTTGTCAAAAAATCAAAACTAAAAAAAAATTGTAAATCAAACTAATCAACAAAACTACGGCCTGGATTTTGTTTCAAGTTCGAGCCAGTCCTTACTCCTCAATCTGTATAATATCGTCCATCCGAGAGATATAATATTTTATTATAAGTCTACAGAAGTCAGATATGTTTTAAAAATATTATGTAGTAACCCACACCGTATAATCTATGTGTGTAGGATAATTGCATCCAAATTGCTTTCAATTTATGGCCATGTTATTTATTTATTTATACCAATCTTAATTTGATAAAAGCAAGCGGAATAACTGAAATATAAACAAAGATACCAAAATCACAAAAGCTGAAGCTTTGACATTTTTTGTGTTATCAAAAAAATTGACCAATAATATATTATACCAGTGTAAGGAACCAAGATTTAAAAAATCATTGGGTGTTCTAAGTGAAAAGCCTCCCGCTCACATTAAAAAATAGTGTGTAAAGGCTTTAACCATCTGTTCTTAATATTATTGATATTTAGCCAATTAGATACATTTGCATTACCGCTATGACATACAATGGCAGTGAGACATACGCTTATGCTTATGTATGCATTATGCGAGTGGAGTGCAGGGGTACATTTTATGTTGCCACCCTTTAATATTAGATAATATTCTTTTGCCTAACTCAAAAAAATAACTATGTAGGTACAAGGTTACAAATTAATTAATTAAAAACCATTGTAGTTAAAAACTGTAATAAGTTTTAATTGATAGAATTTGTAAATCTGTTTTGTAAATTCTATAATAATTCTATATTTTGTAATAAATGTCACTGATATCTATCCTACTCCTACTAAAAATATACACACACATTCGAAATTTTGCCAATCGGGGCAACTCCTAACCTCTCCCATCCCCTTCCCAACCATAAACATGGCACCAGCTGCTGTAGATACGCTCGGTTTTAGCATGTACTACTTAATACTTATACATAGACCACCGTTGACTTACTCGGCGACGATCATCCGGTCGCCCTTGCAGCACTTGTTGACGCACGTGTAACGGCCACGGCCGCAGTACTGGTCGCGTGGCCGGCACGTCCGGGCCACCAGCTCATCAGACGGCGTCAGATCGAAGCAGTAGCCCGGCGGCAGCTCGACGGGCGACGGGTTCGCCGCTTCCATCAGCCCACGCACCTCCAAGACGGACAAGTCGACTAGCACGTGCGCCGTGTCGCACTTTGGCGGCTCATAATTGTAACCCACCATGACCGCTGCGGCCGCCGCCGGGAACCCGTCACGCAGTCGTTGCATCATCCGCCGCTGGTACTCGTCGCCGTCCGCCCCGGCCGGTCCGCAAAACCGCACTTCCGGATCGTACGGGCGGTCCGGTGGACAGCATTTCCGGACCGGCACGGCCGTCCGGTTGTCGTCGCACGTGCCGTCGCCGATCGTCTCGACCGTGTGGAACGTACGGTTTTCGTTCCGGCAAGACGCGACGGCCACACCGCCGCCGCCCGCGACTGAACTACTGTTGCAACAGACCGCGGCGTCGGCGGCAGACCAGCCGATTGCGACAACGAGCAACAAGACGGCAGCGGCGGCGGCGAAACACGATCGGACGGTATTCATCGCGTGCGCACACTGTTTGACGGCGTCGGCACATTCGGTATCGCGACCGTCGGCCGCCGCGAATGTCGGCCGCCACGACCGTTCGACTCGCCGCCGCCGCCGCCGCCGCCGCCGACAGCCGCGCTCGTATGTAATATTATATTGGTTTTTGTCAACTAAATAATATTATTATGTTGTGTAATGATTTGAGATTATTAATTTTATCATGTTTTTTAGGTTTTAAGAATTTCCAATATTATTCCAAGGTACATTAGATCCGGGGGGAGTAGTTGTTTACTTAATCAAATCATTAAAATTGTTAAAAACATGTATAATTCTTCCTAAATCAATAAATACTTTTTCACAGTCGAAAATAGAATAACTTCTAAAATATAACTTAATGGTTAAAATAAAAAAAACTTATTTCATATTTAAATTAAAATTGTTTCATCAAAGATTCCATTTTTCTTAATCCAATAATTATAATGTGTATGTAGATAAAAGGTTTACAAACCATGATCCACGATGGTAGAAATAAGAGAAAGAGGATTAAAACATTGTTTGTTTGTAGATACCAAGATTTCCCACAAAGCAGTATTATATTAATATTTGTGGCCTACTCATATCCCCTTAAGGCTTAAACCATTAAATAGACATTTTATATGCGTGACTGCGGATTGCGGTGAATCCTGGAAGTAGACACGATCTTATGATGACCAAACCACCATCATGGCTCAAAGTCCCAATTTTCCCATAAGGTATGATGAATGATGATTATATATCTTTTTCCCCTTGTGTCCTCCTGTTTTGTATATTGTTTGCAAATATTTCCCTTGACATCACCGCATATTTCTTAATCCTTTGAATACTTGCTGCGTTCATTTTTAAGTATAATAATTCAAATATCTACATACTATGCACCCTTTAATCAAGACTGGACACTAATGTGTTAATAAAAGTTAAGTTAATTTTAACTTATTCATTTAACTTATTAGCTAGTTCATTGTTCTAGTTAACTTAACTTTAACTTAACTAATTTGCATCTACGTTAACTTAGATTCAACTCATATTATTTTTATACTTCCAAATAAGTTGATTTTGAATTTTCGTATTATCAAGAAAAATATTAAAAGTATATACATAATAATAATTATATGCATATCTTATGCAATGCATATATTACGTTGTAAAAATTTAAAAATGTTACCAATTGTTTGCTTTTGCTAGCAACGAAAATATAATAAATGATTTTAGACTTCTAAACTCATGAAATATATATACATTTAAATAGAAACACAGATATACAGAAGCTAAATATCCATAATAATGTGATCGGATATATTGTATAATATAATAAGAAGTATAATGATACGAAACGAATATACGATGTACAATAATGTTATGTGGCGTAATATAAATCAGCGACTAATTGTGTATACCGACTACTACACAAGACATATATGTTATAGTATTATGAAAATGCATATACTCAGCATCTGCTGTACTATACAGTGTGAATAAATTACTTATAAACTACATGACATAGGGAGTTTTGTTTATAACTCCAACAATAATTGTTACTAGTAGTAATTATTACTCTTAAACAATAATATGCCCTTATACATATATATATATATAACTCCTAGAAAAATATATATTAAACCTTGTCGATAATGATACCCATAAACAACCAAATAGCAAAAATCGGTATATCCAATAATAATACACTTTTAAACTCCCCAGTAGTCCAGTACACACTACGACTACACGGTAACACATTTTTATAATAAATATATTACATACAGTATAGCATCAATTTAGTATATAATATATAAATACCTACAATTTTATATTCGAGTGGATAGAAATAAACTGACCGCAAACGGCACTCCACTCAATTGATGGATATCTTATCTCCATATGATGGGCGTATCACGTATTCACGACTAAGAGTCATGAATGTACCACCCACATTAGTAATTACATAACTACGTGATTCTTTACAAATTATTAATATACCTAATGCGATGTGGTCGCTTGGCTACAGTTGTCGTTATTATACACAAGACACGCAAGATAAATGCTACAAATCTAAAAACATATTTTTAAAGATCAAGAAAAAATCATAAATTACGATAAAAAGTTTCAGAGTAACAACAAAAACACGATATGACGTGCGCGGCAGATAAGCTGTATCAATTGGAGTTCGTGGTGAAGACAATGACACGATGTGGCCGACCGGAAGACGAGGCCTGCGGCACGGCCGTCGGCATCCGGTTTCTGGGCAACCAAGAACAGATGGTGTGCGAAATCCCGGCGTCGGTGGACTGTTCATCGTCTACGGTGACCACCGTGAACTCCGGCATTAAGTATACGTTTCCCATGATCGGCGTCGGCAAGTGCGATCCGCGGTCGATGCGAGTGAATGTCCGTCTACACCGGATGTTGGGCGCGGACACGTTGCCCGGCCGCATAGAACTGGCATCCGGAGAAATGGAAGTGCCGGTGACCACGAAACCAGACGAACGACGTCGTCGCCGGCCACCATCCAGCGCGGGGGGTGCATGCGCCACTGATTGCGATGACAACGTTTCCGATGACGGTTGCGAGATGACCGTACCGATGACCAGTTGTCATGACGGGCGGACGGTGGCTGTGCTGGTTATCAGGGCACGGGTGTGGTGCATCGGTCAGATGATGGCTGCGCCGATTGAGTGCCCTGCCCCGTGTCCTGTTGCATGCCCGGCTCCCTGCCCAGCTCCCTGCCCAGCCCCCTGTCCTATACCCTGCCCAGCTCCTTGTGGCATCCGGCCAGCCAAGTGTCCAACCCCCTGCCCCGGCAAGTGTCCAACACCCTGCCCCGGCAAGTGTCCAACACCCTGCCCCGGCAAGTGTCCAACACCTTGCTCGGGAAAGTGTCCGATACCTTGCCCGGTCAAATGTCCGACACCCTGCCCAGTGAAATGTCCGACCCCCTGCCCAGCCAAATGTCCTACCCCCTGCCCGGCCAAATGTCCTACCCCCTGCCCGGCTAAATGTCCAATACCCTGCCCGGGCAAGTGTCCGATACCCTGCCCGGCCAAGTGTCCGGTACCCTGTCCTGCCAAGTGTCCGATACCCTGTCCGGCCAAGTGTCCTATACCCTGCCCGGGAAAATGTTCAATACCCTGCCCGGTCAAGTGCCCAATCCCTTGCCCGACCAAGTGTCCGGTTCGTTGCTCGCCACCACCCGATCCCTGCTGCTTGAAGAAACCAGGATGTGCCTGCGACCCTTGCCGGAAGAAGATTACTATCCCGTGTTGTCCGACAGGTTGTCCACAACCGCGGCCGTGTCGCCGGCCGTGCTGTACCCCCGCTGTGTCTTGCCCTCAGCAACAGTACGAGACGGTGTCGTGCGAGATCGACGGCCACAAGATGGATTTGCGTGTGCGCAAAAAGAACTTTGAGACGTGCTCGGTGCAGCGGCGGATCGCTAATGAAGCCGAGGCATTCGCTTGCCGGGTCATGGGAGTTGTAAAAGACATGCACGGTCTCATCATGGACTCGTCCAATAATGGAGGAGGTGGAAATTGACGAATTAATTTCAATGAACACATCGACATTTTACTACTGTAATTTTTTTTTAACGTGTACATATTTTAGTAAATAAAACCAATAAATCTGTTTACAAGATGTATTTTTTTCAAATTGATAAAAGTGTAAATCGAATGAATAACTTAAGTTATCAAAAAAAATCGTCAAAGGTCACGATCGGCGGTTATTTACTTATGGGTTATTTGCCATTTGTAAATACTAAAATAGTATTCTATAGGTGGTTCAAGGCGCTAATCTGCAGTGAAAAGGGAGACCACTTCCCAGACCAAAACAGCCCAGCTAAATGCGCCCTCTGTGCCGCTGATCATACGGCCAATTACAAAGGCTGCCCAGTTTTAAATTCACTTTCAAAGCGTCTTAAAAACCATCAGAACAAAAAACGAACGCAGACTCAAAATAAATAAATCGGTCGAATTATCTCTTCCAAACACTTCTACTAGGTACCACTCAGTCCAAACCGTCTTATGCATCTGTTGTTTCCAAGCCCAATGATATCAATGCTACTATAAATAACAATAGGTTAGATTCATTTAATGACCTTTCCACATTATTTAATTTTCTGACCGAGCTATCCTCACTAAATGACCCCCTCCTATCTTTGCTTACAGCTGTTCTACACAAACTTAATACACCATAAATATTATTGTATTCAATGTTATATGCTATATTCTATTTGTGCTAACATGCAATCTTGTTATATTAATTTATACTACTTCTTATAATCTTTATATTTATATTATTATGTAATCTTGTCTGCTGTATTATATATTAATAGTAATTGTTGAGCTATAATGGTTTTATACCGAAAGCTAATAAAAAAAAAAAAAAAATACCTACGTTATAAACTATTATCACTGTCAATAGTTCATTCGACAATGAATTATACTAATTTAGTAATGTGTACTAATATTGTCGTCTATCAGGCACATTATTTTATTTGAATTAAGCAGGCAACCCTCTGCTTCGAGATAATATTCTCTGTTGTGACACTGTTATCCTATGTTTTTGTTACTTAGGCCACACTACGACTGTGGCGTGTAATATTAATTATATCATACAATGTATAATTGTTATTCATTTTTAAATCAATAAATCTTATAGAAAGGTGTGGATTTAATTTGTAACTAATAACTTGGTAAGTATACAATAACAATTTTAAATTGTATTGCTACAATATTATACTATAGATACTAGATAGGTACTAATCATAAACACAAGGTAAGAATCTAAAGTTAAAAATTGTGAATGCATTTGGCCATAATAATTTGAATACATATTTTAAATATTTTGTATAAAAAAAAATGTAAATACTGAAATATATATACCTAGTTTAAAAGTGTTTATAACAGAATATTTTATACAAATTACATAATAAATATGTTTTGGACGTTTTGATAGTTTAAAACTTAGTACGAGGAACAGAAAAGTACAAAGAAAGACGTGACCAACGACGGGTTAATCAACATGCAAA